GGGGGGGGGGAGGGGCACTTATCCCATTTCACGTCTGGTCAGGTCACGGCTCGAGCTATGGCCTAGTTGCGGGACCCCTCTACTACCTGGGTGTGCGATACAGAACCGATATGCTGCTGATATCCTGGAGGGGAGTTGCTTTGGCTCGACTGACTGGATCTCGTTCGACAGGCGACGAGTCCTGCTCCGAGACGTCGTCCTCGGTGCCGGAGCCGCTCGGCCCCTCGCCCGTCTCCCGCCGCGCCCACCGCCCGACCCGCGGCGCGGCCACCCTCTCGGCGGCCTCCTCGCTGTCGGAGGCATCCGCCGTCCGGGACTGGCTGCCCGACGACGACATCCTGGCCGCCAGGCTGCCCGCGCTCAGCAGTGTCTCCAACCTCGGGGTGAGTTTGGCAGCAGCGCCTTTGTGGAGAAGTTCCGTCAAAATGACGAAAAGAATCTATAGGATATACTTCACAGGACATTCTTTGTGAACGGTAGCTAATGTTTGTTGGCGTTGCAGCGGAGCGACTCGCTGGCGAGCGTTTACTCGGGTGCGGGAGAGGGCCGCTATGGCACGGTTGCAGTGCGCGGCGAGGTCGAGTTCGGCCTGCAGTACAACTACAAGCAGAACGCCCTGGAGATCCATGTGGTACAGTGCAGGGATCTGGCTCCCGTCGACACCAAGAGGAACCGTTCAGACCCGTGAGTGTTGGACCTGCGTGGGCTAAGGGATACTTTGCCCAATCCTCTATTATTTAGACGGTTTGAACTCTCATTGATTTGTTTTTTTGTGCAGCTATGTTAAAGTTTACCTTCTTCCTGATAAGTCCAAAGGAGGAAAGAGAAAAACAAGGGTGAAAAAGCACACTCTAAATCCCTACTTTGATGAAACGCTAAAGGTTTGTGGAGTATTGTGACATAAAGTTATTTCCTTCAATGTGTTCAATTCCCTTTCTGAAATAACATTCTTGTGTATATTTTTCTCATTCCCAGTTTCACATTAGTTTAAAAGGGCTGGAGACTCGAACTCTTTGGCTTACTGTCTGGCACTCCGACATGTTTGGGCGTAATGACTTTTTAGGTGAAGTAATGATGGGTCTCGAGAACAAAGTCTTCGATGATCCTTCCCCCTGTTTCTATCCTCTTCAAGAACGGGTAAATTTGAAATTACTTTTAAGACACATTAATATGCTTCTTGTATATTTTTTTTTAACTCTAAATGAAATAAATCTTATTGCTTTTCTCTTTGAAGACTGAACCCTATGATGATGTCCATAGTTGTAGAGGAGATATGATAGTTGCCCTGAAGTTTGTTCCTCCTGATGTGTCAGGCAACACATTAGGGAAAAAAGGAAAACGGTCTTCAAAGGGAGAACTTCATGTTCTAGTAAAGGAAGCAAAGAATTTGACAGCAAACAAAGCCAATGGCTCTTCAGATGCATTCTGCAAGAGGTGAGGGAAAATTTACATTATGTCAAAATTCATTTAAACTGAATTAGGTGAAAATAACATACATACATAGGTGTACCGGGCTACACCGCTTCTTGAAGGACCTTAATATTTTTATATTTATTCTTGTTTCAGTTATCTTCTCCCAGATAAAGGGAGAAGTTCAAAACAAAAGACTGCAGTCATCCGTAGGTCCTGCAATCCTGCATGGAACCACACTTTTATCTATCCAGATATTAGTCTTCAGGAGCTGTCTGAGAGATCGTTAGAGCTTACTGTGTGGGACCATGATAGGATTGCTAGCAATGAATTCCTTGGAGGCGTGAGGTTTAGTCTAGGCACAGGTTTGTCATTGCTTATCTATTCTGTCAATGCTACTGTTTTTTTGTTGTTTTTTTTTGCTATTAGGTAATAGTCTAGTCATTCTTTTTTTCTTTTTTGTAGGCAAGCACTACGGTAAGCCAGTCGACTGGATGGACTCATCAGGCAAAGAGCTCACATTATGGCAACGCATGCTTGAAAGGCCAAATCTATGGGTTGAAAGCTCAATAACACTTCGGCCCTCCTTGGAACGAACAGCTTTCTCACCCAGCTCTACTACTTAATTCAACACAGCAAGATAATATTTTTCTTAAATATTGCATTTTCTAGTCTCCCGCGCCAGTGCTTGCTGTTCATGGTTCCACTGTTCCATTGTTCTATCTTAAAAAGAAACTCCGGACCTAAGCCACCTATTTAATTTACTACTAAAAATTCTCATTAATTCTGTGATTTTCTATTAAACCAGATATGAAAAGAGAACCTGTTTTGAGCTTTAAGCACAGTTTGAAACTGGAGCTCCCAAGATATGCCATGTAGGTTCAATTCAGCAAATACAGCACAGACTAATGTGCCTTTCTTAATGTACTAGTGATTCTATTGTGTGAGGATAAATTGTTTTATATCTTGATGTAAGACTGATAAGGTTTTGACCAAATTTATTCGATTGTGAGTGAGGTAAAAGTTATCGTGTGAATTGGACATTAAATTTTTGTCAAAGTCTGTTCTAGCTGTCAAAGAGAGAGCCTTGACAATATAGGAAGTTAAATGTTTATTGAGAATGGTCCTAGAATAAAGAGAAGATAGCTCCTAAGAATGCTGTGATACTGATTTCAAGCTTCAAGCTGATGTTTTTAAAATTATTGATACGTGTATGTATTTTCTACTGCTTTGTCTGCTCTTATAGTCAACTATTCATCTGTGTAAAGTCATTGAACGATTCCTGCCATTTCTAAGGAGTATCTTTAGTCACTTCTTGTAATATGAGAGTAATTTTGTAATACAGTTTATTTAATTACAGAAGCATAGTATATTAAATATTTAAACATTACACTAATTTTCTTATTTATGAAATACTGTATGTTGAAGGAATCATTTGTTATTATATTTAATAATAATTCTCCATTACTATCATTAAGTATCTAAAGTCAATAAATATTTTGACAAGTTTCATTAAGTCTACATTTTCTTCTCATCTCCTTTAGGTACATTTTAAAAGTATAGGTCTGAGAGGTAACAAGGAATGAAACAAGTGTGCATGTTTACCAAACTTTATTTGTATTCCCAAGTACAATTTTCGTGCAATTCAAGACATGTGTTCAGGAATCTTCATTTTGAATGCCTTTTGGACCTGAAATTTTGAAAAATGGTGCAAGATAAATTTAACATGAGACGCTTCTCTTGGTCCCTTTTAATTGTTCTTTACTTCCTTTCTCAATGTCCTCTTGCTGGCCAAAGAATGAGTTTTGGTATGGCGTAAGTTATGCCCCCTCTTCAGCTCAAAGACAACAACAGCTACAGCCATGCAAATACAACCAAATTGTAACGTTTGGTGGATTAACCAATCATTGAAAGAGGCTTGTTACTTTTTCACTCCTTACACAAATTTTGTATGAATATGCGAAATTAAATCTTACCACACAATCTTGGGTTGCTTGTCGAGGAGCACTTACTGTTGAAATCACGGGGTGCTCCCTAACAGAAAATCAACATTGGTTTCTGTTTCGACTTGGGCAAGTAAAAAGTGACTGTAGTTGTGTAAATTTCTCATCCCTTCTTTAGCTGACTTCGCATACCAAATAAATCTAAGCCCATTCATTCTGTTCTGGGATATCAAAGCTGAAAGGTCGTATCTGATTTAATCTTGATTTCCGAAATAAACATTGACACGTTCTAATATTTTAACACTTACAATCAATATAATGTTGACTTAATGTTAACAATTGATGCTTATCGTTCATATATTGAACTCAAATACATGGAGTTCTATTTCTCTACATTGTTTTCATATTAAGCAATAAGCAATGCATGACATTGCAATCACCCAGAAAAAAGTACATCCGCGTCATTCACCGTTTCCGAGCCTGCCAGGTTCAGTCGTTCAGCCTATGCAAGCTCTCAAGTCGCCTGATGGGTAGGCAACATCTTGCCAGCAGTGCACGCGTGTACTGCGGGCTGGCCTACCCAAAGTCTCGCAGGCGCCGAGCTCACAAGTAATTTGCCAAACGAATAAGACATAAACGGACCTTCTTTCTGGACGATCCCTAAGTTTTGCCCACACCCAAACCTGGAGAGACATTGCATTATAACATATAGTAGCAAACATACACAGATAGAAGATTAAAAGTTGAAAACATCAATAGCAAACATCAATTGGTAGAAGATTTAAAGTTGAAAACATCAAAAGCAAACATCAATGGATTACATTTTGAGAGTTGAAAATCCAAATCGTCAAAATTATAAACGTTAACAGTTAGGGAAAAACCCAATTGAAAAATTGTTAAGCAGCACCGAAACTCTCGCGAAAATGTAACCACAAAACATTCAGAATAGTCATGATACAATCGGACAGAATCACACACCATCTGAAACAACGAAACACAACCACGACACAATCACACACAATCAAGTCACAATCTGACAAACTGTTCCAAAATATGTCACAATTTTTATCCGACAATCAGAGACAATCATACAACTGGAAACAAGCACACAAACATCATAAACAATCACACACAATGAAACACAACCACACAGAATCGACACAATCACACACAATCGGAAACAATCACGACAAATTCGGACATAATCATGACATTTTTTAAAAATATGTCCTGATATTCACGCAACAATCTGAAAAAATCAGAGATCCGAGACAATCATCGACATAATCATACACAATTACTCACATTCTGAAACAATGATTGTTTCGACAAAATCGTGTGTACACTGTTCACACTCCTGAGCAGTTCTCTGCGAATGGGTCACTTTTGACATCTGTACGTCGAGAAAAAAAAATTCTGTTTTATCGAGTTTTTCTTATGGTATGTTGCTGACTACTGTCCCTAGATACAAGATTTCGAAGATCCCAGCTCCCACTCAGAAGTTACAAAATTACCCTATAAACCCCATAAGGAATCCTTATAATGGTTACGGATCTTACTGGTTACGGATCTTACAAATTCGTATAAAATCGGACCTTTAAGACGAACGAGACGACCGATCGGCAAGGGCGAGACGTATTTTGGGTCAGGCTGACAATACGGACACAACGCCGTTTGAACCTCATCTAAATTCGCAATAGAAACTTCGCAAAAGAGTGCACGGATCTTACACTCTATGCTTGACACTAACAGTTTTTAGGTGTTCTAGTCAGTGTAGGCGGCGAACCAGACGAGCCTCACCTGCGTTTGAAGTGTTGTCTAGTGGAGGACACATAACTCTATCTATGGGAAGTTTCGTGGTTGTCGTATGTTAAGTTTTGCGGTAGAAAAGTGGCAAAAACTGGCTTTATGACTTTTGTTACCTTTCCATGGAGGACATTTTTTGAGCCAGTCGTGTAAAGACATCTGTGACTTTCTAGAGACGGGCCAAGTGTGAGAACATAGCCTCATGTGTGTAGAACACGAGACCACCTGCGGAAATCAGTTTTCATGTCCCCTTTCGGCGTACAGAGAAGTTTAAGTTCGAAATCGGGAGTTGTGGACATGCAAAATGGTTACGGATCTTACATTTTCGACCCTTTCCGTTCAAATATCTTTTGAGGGGATGACTCTAATGTCGAAGTAACATTTGTTTTGTGTTTAGTTAGTTTAAAGACGCAGAGATAGCAAAAGAAATCGTTCAGATCGGTTAAGATTTCGATGAAATAGAGCGTGGACACGAAAGTGACCCATTCGCGGAGAACTGCTCTCCTGGGTAAAGTCTTTAATATGCTATAAAACTTACCTTGAGCTAAGACACAAAAATCCATTAATGTGTTTGAAAGAGAACTTCAAAGGATCCTTCATTCACAAAGAGTACTTACTCCATGTATGATTTCGAACAACATTATAATTTTTTAATTAATTGTTTAATGTTTTATACTCCAAGTATTTCACTAAATTCTGTAAATCCTGTTCTGTGACATTTCTGTCTTTGGCTATACTTATAAACTAACTGACCAACTAACTAACTGACCAACTAACTGACTAAGTAAATGAACAACTAGCTAACCAGCCAACCAACCAATGGAAGGTTTCTCCAAGAACTGTTTTTCACCCCCCTCAAAATCGACTTCCTACCTACCGAAAACCAAATCGTTCCATTGGCCATGCTAGATATATGGTTTCTTATACTCTTATACTAATCCTTACCACACCGGACTGCAGAGCATAACTTAAGCGGAATTTTCCTTTTCGCATAGTTAGCATTTTCAGTTTGGTCTTGAATCGCAAATCGTCGAGAGTTCTTTGCACGACATCAAAAGAAAACCGTCAGTGATACGCATATATGCGGCTCTGCATTTCGAGCTGTTACATAAATAGTCGAACGTGTTTGTATACCGGAGTTTTTGGCTGCTTACAATACGAGATGGTCGATACTAGACTTAGGCCTCTGTAAATTCGTAAGTGAGAACTTAAACGCACGCGGGTGCGGACGGCAGTCGGTTTACATGCTGGCAGTTGTTACATTGTAAAAGTACAGTCACAAAACATTTTTCTGAACACAAGTAATTCAGTGTTACTCAAAAAGACATCTGAGTAGAAACAGAACACAACAGGGTGGGAACTTCTTTTTTTTGGTCAGTTTACAAGGTTGCATGGTTAAAATCAGAAAAAATCAAACAAAGACCTCGCGGGGTGGGGAGCCCCCGATCGTGCCGCAGCACCCGAGCCCGGAGCGCAGCGAGACCCTCCGCATGGGGGGCTTGTAGCCGGCGGCCTCGGCGCCGCAGCAGAGGAGCGTGACGCGGACGGCCGCCCGCCGCAGCCAGCATCGCGCCGCCCCGAGGAAGCCCGACAGGCAGAAGCCCTCGCCGCGAGCCTTGCGACGGGCCTCGTGGGCCTTGCGGGCCTCGCGGGCCAGGCTGGCCAGGCGGGCCTGGCGGGCCAGGCGGACCGGCGTGCCCTCGGGGCTGTTGGGCGCCCCGAGCCCCACGGGCCAGCTGTTGGTGCGGCGGGTCTGCAGGCGCTTGGGGGCGTACGTGTACGACGGCGGCATCCTGGCGAGGGGCGCGACGGTCCGCGGTGGTGGCTCCTGGTGGTGCTGGGACGAGGGTCGTCGGGGAGTGCTCGAGGGGCCGGCCGCGCTGCTGCTGCATGCGCCATTGTCGCCGCCCCGCCACGGCTCCGTTAACGCGAACTCCGCCCTTTTCGCCATAATCTGCAACACGCGCACGAGCCCCGGTCCGCGTTAAAATTATGACAAAATATTGTGACAAAATGGTGTCGCAGGTTTCGGGGGGAAACTTTTTCATGAAGCGTGTCATTACAGTACAATTTGAAATTATTGATATTACAAGGTCAACATCGACGAGTGAGAATGGGCAATGGGCAGTCATACATTTACAAACATATTTTGTAAATAAAATTACAACTAATGTTGAAAATTTGCGAGGATATTTTTTAAGTTCGCAAGCCCCTACACGCGACTTACGCTTAGGTACCACCCAGAAAGTACGCCCGCGTCATTCGCCGTTTGCGAGCCTGCTAGGTTCAGCCCGTGCAAGCTCTCAAGACGCCTGGTAGGTAGGCAACATCTCTCCTGCAGTGCATGCGTGTACTGCGGGCTGGCCTATCCCAAGTCTCGCAGGCGCCGTGCCTCCGTAAGGGGAGGATCAAAAATTGCGTCATGCACCTTTCAGGAAAGGGGAGGGGGGGTATGCTAGCGTGACCAAATGTGACCATGACGGGGGGAGTTAAGGCTCGTGACGTCACGCCTTTCTCCAAATTTCATTGTCTGTTAAAAATACGCTGACTTTATAGTGACATGAGGTGTTGTTTACCAAAAAGGCAGGAATTTAGGAGCTCAACATATAACCGTGATACAAGACCTCTAACTCATGGTGGAGATCTGTCATTTGTTGAGTTCCAAAATTACGGTGCGTCCCCGTCACGGAGGACATTGCACCCCTCGTCACGGCCCGGCCGTCACGTTGCATGCAGTAACGCCTGTTGTACCGTTACCCTCTCCCCCACACTTCGTCACCGTTACCCCCTCCCCACCCTGGCGTGACGCCACAAATAAGCGTATTGACCTGAAACTGAAG